TGAGCCACCGCGCCCGGCCCAATTTTACGATTTTTTTTTGAGCAGAGATCTTAAGTGAGAAGGTGAATCACATGAATGATTTAGGAAGTAGTTTTCTGTTAAGAAGAAACAGCAAATTCCAAAGCCCTGAGGTAAAGAGTCTATGCAGTATGTTTGAGGAACAATAAGGAACCAATACAAATGAAGAATATTAATCAAGAAGGAGGGTGGAAGGAAATGATATCAGGGAGATAACAAGGGGCCAAATCAACTAGAGCCTTAATGGCCATTGTATGAACCTCAGCTTTCACTTTGAATAATATTAGAAACCATTAGAAGTTGAGATTTGGAAAAGTAATATGATTTAAGTTATGATAGAACTACTCTGGCTATCTGCAGAACCTACTTAAGGGGCAAGGGAAAGAAAACAGAGAAATGAATTAGGAAGCTACACTATTATTTAAGAAAACAATTATCACAGTTTAGAGTGGTAAAAAATGGTAGGACCCTGGGTACATTTTGAAAATAGAGCTCAAAGATTTTCTGCTTGAGTGTATAAGAATGGATGAAATTAAGTACAAAAGATAATGAAAAGCCTCAAATATGAAGAACCAATCAGTGAGAAAGGAAAAGAACAAGGTAAGAATATTGACACAGAAGTATGTTTACTGTTTTAAAAGTTTAAAGAAGGAGAATGTAGCAATGTTGTCTAAAGCAGCAGAGTAAAAAAAAGGGATAAAAGTATCTCGTTGGACTTAACAATTTTGAAGTCATCGTCCTTTGCCAAAGCAGTTTCAACGAAGTGGAGAGAAATCAGATTGCAATGGTTTGCAGTGGATGGACAGAGGGACAAGGAATGAGAGAGAGCACTAAACGTTACCTGTCAAAACTCAACAGAGGGGAAAGAAAAAGGTTATACTTGCTAGGTATTTGAAGTAAAGAGAAGATTGAATCATTCATGTGTTGTGATGTGATTCACAACCAGGAAGGATCCATGATAATCTCTTTTAATCCCAAACTTTAAGAACAACCCAGTGCAATGGGTCAGTTCCACTTTCCAGCCACTAAGATTTAAATGTCAATTTTCCTTAAAACCTAGGTCAAGGAGAGAATTTCAGAATAATTAATTAAGTATTCAGCAATCATCCATATAAAAGCATTTTAAAGCATTATCTTATAGAAAGAAGTTACCAAAGCATTAGCTAAACTTTCTTCTGGAAATACGACTCATGCATTAAATTTTGAGGCATCTTATTCAGTTGTA